GCTCGGCCGCAGGGCTGTGTCCGTCACCGCCCAGCCCCGGGAAGGCCGGCTGCGGCTGGAAGTTGGCCTCTCTTGGGTCGCTCCGGTACGGGACGGGAGCGAACCCCTGCCCTGCCCCCCATCCCGGCAGTTTGGGCTCCACGTTACAGCCCTAGTTCTGGTACCTGCATTTGATGCCTTGTTGATCTTCAGTGCCAGGAAGATAGGCAGCCGCGGGGCCCTCCTCACCCGTCCGCGGTCAGAGGCTGTGTTAGGGAATGGTTGGGGTGCTCTTAAGGAAAACCCGGCGGTAGCCTGCCCTGCATTCCTCTTGGCCACAAGGTGAGAAGGATCATCCCCCGGCCTTAATTTAAACATGTGGTTTAAGCAGCCAGGGTACATCGATCAGAGCAGCTAAGCAAGTGGGCACCAAGAGAAACGAACAAACTTCTCCAGGTCTAGACTACACACTCTCTGCCGTCCACAGGAGTTTCCACCTGCCCATTCATGACTTGAGTGAATTCACACCACGGTTTGTACCTGTGTTTGGTAGTGGATAGATGTCAAGCCCTCCTCGACCTGGATTTGTCCCTGCTACAACCTGTTAGGGGTGAGCAGACAGCCAGGCCCACACTGTGGCTGGTGTGGTGAACGTCCACGTGAAAGAGCTTCTGTAAGGTTGGTTCAGGGCCGGAATCAGGCAAGTGGTAATGTTAGACTGTGGGCTGAAAAGAAGCCTTTCGGACCAAGCTAGTCCCCGAGATTTGTAGAACCACAGTATTTTAGGCACAGAAGAGACTTTTGACATAAGCTGCTGGGCTGAGGGGATGCCATTTGTCCCAGGTGCCTTACCTAAGTGGTAACTTCAATGAGGACATCTTTTAGTTGAAGCGGGGGAAACTGTAATCAGATTGACTTAGGTGAGGTGGGGTTGGGCTGGTTTCTAGTGCACCCGAGTCCAGAAGCATCAATACTAGCATCAGACTTGGCCTCTCCCTTGAATCTTTTGGCTCCTATTTCTTCAGTGTTGGCTTGTATTTCTCATGCTGGCTTTCTTCTGAGTTACAGACACATAACACCAGCAGAGTCCTCATTCCTAACAGTTGTAGAAGTCCGGATCTGATTCTTGCTGGGCTGACTTTATTGTATCCATCCCTGAAGCAGTCATTATAGCCAGAGGGATGGATTGACCAGACCTGGGTTCCATAACCTGGGTTCCAGTGGGTAAGTGGTTGTCCAGGCCCTTGGACTGAAATAGCAAAGGGACATTCTCAAAACAAAGGTACTCATCGCAACAAGGAGGGATGAGTTCTAGGTAGATGGAGACAGCATTGCCTACTTTTTCACCCGAAGGAACTCGTTCTGGTTTACCTTTGTCTCATCTCATCACCACCACGCCCAGCCAAATCAGAACTGCCTCTCATCACCAGATGTGACTGAGATTCTTGGTCCTTGTTTTGCCCCATCTTGAGCATTGGGCCTGTATCATTTTTATCATGGACTGAGGGTAGGATTGGGAGTAAGCACCCAGAATTCTGCTCGGATTTCTTTTAAAAAGTGGGAGGAAAACCTGTAGCTTTGTAGGGTGGCCATAACCGTAGAGATTGAACAGGAAGTTCCCTGCATGCTCTTTCGTACTTAGCTACCTCATGGCTCATGATAACTTGGAGAAGGTGTAGGCTGAAGAGGAGAGGGAAGAGCACTGATCTGGAAGTTGGGAAGCTTGGGGTCTGGTTCTAGCTCTGTCACCGGAAGTGTCGAACAAGTCATCTGATCTGTTTCTCCATTTCTTTGACTAGACAAGTGAGTCAGGTATCTGTGAGGTACATTCTCTTAGCTCTAGTATTTAATGATAGACCTGATTCAACAACTTGCACTTATCAAAATGAGTGAAGGGTGGATGGTTCTTGGACTCTACAGTAGAGACCAAATTCTGACAAGAACAGGGCAGCTGTAGTATTTAGATGCCTGTGGCTCCTCAGATCCTGACAGATGTGGAGGTGGAGAAGTTTACCTGGAGAGCTTGAGCTATGGCTTTGGTCTTGGCTTTGCAAGGTGTATGATCTGTGATCCATGGTAGGTTATCCTTGTTTCTTCTCCTGTAAAATCAGATTGATTTTTTTTTTTTTTTTGAGACGGGGTCTCACCATGTAAGTTTAGGTTGCCCTGGAACTCACTGTGTAGCCCAAGCTGGTCTTGGACTCACAGAGATCTTTCTGCCTCAGGCTCCTGAGAGCTGGGAATAGAGGCTTGCGCCGCCATGCCCAGCCAAATCAGAACTGCCTCTGGACAACCTCTTCCTACCTATCTAGTCCCATGTGTGAACCAGTTATTGGGACCAGGGAGAGAGAGGTGGCAGGGAGGGGGGAAAAGGGAAAAGGGGAAGGGGGCAGAGAATGAGAGAAAAGGAGGGAACTTCCTTTACTCACTATCAACTTACATATATTTGTGGGAAATTGTGAGAATATAGTTTGTGTTCTTATCCAAGAAGGAAGGTGTAGGCATTTATAGCGACTTTATTGTTATATAAATTATGAATGATACAATTAATCTGTTAAAGTATTTAGTTCACTGAGTTGCATAGCTATTAACACAGTCGATTTCCAGGCATCTTCCTCAGCCCCCACATCAGTCTTGTACCCATTAGTATCATTCCTCGTTTCTCCTGACCCCCACTGAGCCCTTGCCAGCCCCTAGTCTTTCTATCTCTATAGATAGAATCATATACCATGTGGTCTTTTGTGACAGGCTTTTCTTTCCCCTTCATCGTAATTTTTTTCAAGGTTCACCTATGTTGTACATCTGATTTTTTTTTTTTTGCCAAATACTATTCCATTATATCATTGTATACCTAGATCTTTTTTATTTGTTCATCAGTTAGTGAACATTTGTATTGTTTCTGTTTTTTTGGCTATTACAAATAATGCAGCTATGGGTATTTGTACATTTCTTTTGTGTGTGTGTGTGTGTGTGTTTGGTAACGGGATCCAACTCAGGACCTTGAGCTTGCCAAACAGGTGTGTCACCACCGAGTTACATCCCCGGCCCCTTTTTAAAATTTTTATTTAAATTTTTTATTTAAATTTTTTTTTGGTGCAGGGGATTGATGACAAGGCATTGTGTGTGCATGGAAGGTAAGCATTCCACCAATGAACTACATATCCAGCCCTGTATTTATGGATGAGTGTTTTCAGTTTTCTTGAGCATATTCTTGGGAGTAAGATTATTTGAGCTGTATGCTAACCCTGTGGTTAATCTCTTAAGGAACCGTCAGACTGAATTCCAGAGCTGCACCACCATTTTACATTTCTACTAGCAATATCTGAGGGTTCTCGTTTTCCACATCACTTACATGTTATTGTCTTTTTTTTTTTTTTTTTTTTTTTTTTTTTTTTAAATTAAATTTGGGACCTTGTGCTGTGCCTGTGCTGTGCCAGGCACGCCCAGCACCACTGAGCTAAATCCCTGGCCCATGTTATTGTGTTTTTCATTATTACCCTCCTAGCAAGTATTAAGTGGTATCATTGTGGTTTTGATCACACCTGTCTAATAACTAATGATATGGAGCATCTTTTGTGTGGTTTTTGGCCATTTCTCACTGGAGAAATGTCTGTTCCTGTTCCCATTTTAAAATTAGGTGATTTATCTTTTATTGTTGAGTTATTCTTTATATATTTTGGATACTAGATTCGGGATACTAGATACAGATTGGCAAATATTTTCTCCAATTTATGGGTCATCCTACTTTCTTGATGGTATCTCTCTCTCTCTCTTTTTTTTTTTTTTGGTTTTTTGAGACAGGGTCTCACTATGTAGTTGAGACTGACCTGGAACTCACTATGTAGCCCAGGCTGGTGTCAAACTCACAGCGACCCTCCTGCCTCAGCCTCCGGAGTGCTGGGATTATAGGCGTGCATCTCCATGCCTGGCTCTTGATGGTATCTCATGAAATGTAAAAGCTTTTAATTTTTTTCCTTTAAGTTTATTGGTACATTTTAGGCATACAATACAGTTACATTCATCATTGGGAACTTGTACCCTTACATTATTTATCTTGGTTCTTATTTTTTCCCCATTCCCCCGCCCTCCCTTTAACCCCTCACCACTAGGGAAAAGGAAGGAAGGGAAAGGAAAAATATGAGGAAAGGTAAAAGCTTTTAATTTTGATGAAGCCTAGTGTATATCTATTCTCTTGCTTATATTTTTGATGTTGTATTTTAAAAATCACAGTCAGACATTTTCACCAGTGTTTTCTTTTAAGGATTTTATAATTAATTTTCTATATTTATGTCTGTGAAGCTTTTTTTTGAAAAAAATTTGCTTTGGAGGCAGGACCTACTATGTAGTTCAGGCTTGAACTCACTCTGATCCTCCTGCTGAAGCTTCCCAAGTGCTGGCATTACACATGTGTGCCACCATGCCAGGCAATAAATAGCATACTGAAGAATTCTGTTCCTTTCCTGCTCTTCCATTTATGTCCTCCTTTATCCATCATTGGGCATCACTTTGTTTCAATGGGAGCAAAGCAAAACCAAAATCCAGCAGCATCTAGGGCCGGTTGTGATGAGCCGTGAATCGAAAGGGCTTGGGCAGCCCTGCCTCTCTAGGTTTGCTGGTTGCAGCCCATGTGGCCGCTCTCTTTTGGGCTGGCTCCACTCGGTGCCTCTCATCTTCCTCGGAAGATGTTCCACATTCCTGGCATCTCCAACTTCCTGGAGTCTCGCTTCAAGCATCACCTTAGGGGCTTCTTGCAAGGACTGTGACCTTATCATGTCTGATTCTGTCGCTGCCTGTTCCTTTCTTTTAAATCCTAGTGGCAGCTTCTGTGACCCCCACCCCCCCATAACTTTTGCATTTAGCAGCACTGTCTGTTTGGATGATGCCAAGGTCTGTCACTAGCTTGAGCTGCCTCCCTAACTCCTCTTGGGCCACAGTTGTGGCTTCTGAGTACCTGGATGGCTGGAGTTGGCAGCTCACTTCCTGAAAAGGCTCTGTGCCATGGGGTCTCTCTTGCCAAAGCAAAGACTTTTAAAGCAGTTTACCTTTTTATACCCTTGAGCCTGTGATGGTTTACATCTGGCCATTGTGCTGATGCGAATGAAGTACTTGGCATCTTTTTTAATGCTAATCATTTTTTGCAGTTGTGCTCTCCTTTCCCCTTAACTTTATTAGTGTTTCTTTTTTTGCCAAGTTGCAAATTTTTCATATCTTGCAGTTTGGCTTTTTACTCCTGATTCTCACCATAAAGTTGGCTGAAAGCCTCCCCCCTGTACCCATGTCACAATCTAAATGTTGGGCTGACTGGCTTGAAATTTTTTCTGCCAGATTCATTAGTCCATCATCTTTAAATTCAGCTTCAGATAAAGTTTTAGGACATGAGGAAAACATAGACAAATTCCTTGCTAAAATGAAATACTCAGGGTATCTGGTCCAGTTTCTTCTTTCTTTTTTTCTTTTTCTTTTTTGGTAACTGGCCCTCTGCTTACAGCATTTTAAGCCTTCTCTAGCTAGCATCTCCAAACCTTTCTAAACTGCCACAAAACAAATTCCAAAGGATTAGGAACTGTAAGGCTAACTAGGGTCACATCAATGACCTGTCTAGCAAATATGAGGATTGCTATCCCAAAAGGAAAATTTGAAAAGAATTATAGGATAAAGACCTAAAATGGTTCAGTTGCTAATTGTAGGACACAGTGAAAGAATAGGACATCATAAACAAAAAATGGGCAAATGTGAAACAGAACCGAACAGAACTTATACAAGTGAGCAATAATCATTGAAAGTAAAATCTTTTTAGATGGAATAGACATGGCTGAAGAGAATTTGTGACATTCAAGAACGGAAATTTTATTTGCCTGCCATGGTAGTCCTGCCGCTTGGAGCTTTATCAGAAACTTGTGTTTATTCCGTCACTGATACTGACTGGGTGAGCATTCGTCTGACTCACCTGAGAGTGCTAGGTCAGGTTGATGTTTTCTGCCCCTAAGTTTGCCACTGTGTTACGCCTGCTGTGGTCAAAGTCTGCAACCTTCTGCTCTTTCTCTTTTTAAGGACGAATCACCAGGATTTTCAGCTGAAAAACTTAAGAATAGTTGACCCTACCGAGGTGACACACTCAGGAGACGCAGGTGCAGAAACAGGTAACAGTAGTTTTGTCTTTAAAGTAGATGGAACATTTCAAAAGGATTTTAGATTCCTGCCCTGACACTTAAGTTGAGTGAGAAGAAACGTTGTGGCATTTGTAATTGATTGTGTTTGGGGGTGAGGATCTGAAAATTAAAAGTCATTTTGTCCTTTGGCTTCCTGGATGGTTGGTTATTGTTTGATATTTTTACCACTTTATTTTAGGTAATAAGTTAGAGAATTATAGTTTTTTTTGGTGGGGTTTCTTTTTTTTTGTACTTTTCATTCTTGTGGGGGATAAGTAGTAGTTGTGGTGGTGGAGGTAGGTTATTATTCAAAATGTTCTATTATAGTTTTTTTAATCTTATACTTTACCTCTCATTAGATATAGTCCCTTATTGATTACTTTAGAAATTAGTTTTCAGCCTTTCATCAGATTCTGAAATGAGAAAATACTTTATTTTGCTTTATGAATTGAATAGGCATATAGGAAAATATTTTTTGGAATTAATTCCTGGGACCATCCTTTCTCCCTAGAACTTATTATTATTATTTTTTTTAAGTACTGGGGATTTAACTCAGGACCTTGCACTTGCCAGGCAGACGTGGTGCTGCTGAGTTAAATTCCAGGCCCAGAATTTAATTCACTATCTGATAAATTGCTAGAAATCTGAATTCTGAAAAGTATTGTATAATTGTACTCCCATCCCAAGTAAGCTAGTGCTTTTCTGTACACTTCCCAGGAGAAACACATTTCCTTTTAGCTGACTGAAACCTTGATCCCTTGAAGTGCTAAGAAACAATGGCTATCTGATCTTTCTTTAGAGTAGCAGGGCTGTGAACTGACACAGGCAATTTTAGTTCTTCTTTCTTTAAAAATACAGATGTACCTGACACATTTTGGGCTACAATAAGAAGTAGAAGAAGGGGGAAGAAAAATCGGATAAAGTAGGAAGTAAAGGAAAAAAGGAATTGAATCATCAAACTTAGGGTTGGAAGATAAGTTTTAAAAATTTATATATGAGGAAATAAGAGTTTTAGTTGTCCTAGGTTGTAGGTGCCAGCTGTGGACTAGGGCCCACATGTTTTGATTCTGCCGGTCCTAGAATGCTGAAAAGCTTTTAAGTCCCCCAGATGATGTGGTGGTAATGGAGTTTGGGCGTGAGAAGTGGATAGACCTTGGGTCCTGGTTCCTGATGATCCACCTGCCTGGGCAGCTACTTAACTTCTTTCAGTTCCTGTTTCTTTATATGTAAAATGGGAAGAGTGAAACCTCTCATTAGAGGAATTTTGGAAGAATTAGCCATTAATGTATGAGTCCTCAGCCCGCCCTTAGCTGTGAAACAGAAACAAACTGCTGCCTCTAAAGCTGTTGATGCTGGAAGAGCATCTGTGCATGTGTTAAGGTGCTGAAATTGGAGCGAAACAGCTCCTTCTATTCTTACAAGACGTGTGGAGGTCCCAGCTGGTGTTTCAGATCTACATTCAAATATTTTTTGAGCTTCTATAATATATTAGATGTTGTGCATGGTACTTTCTCGCACATTACTCCTTTTAATTTTTTCCACCCAGCGCGGTAAATATGTTGTGCTGTCATGTGCAAGCATTGAAAAGTCTTGTTTGTGATAAAAACCAAGGGTTTGGGATCTTTTTTCTAAAAGCAGATTCATATATGTAAGACATTTCAATGAGTCATTGTCTTTAGGGGATGCTTTAAAAATGCCTGGCAGTGTGTAGACTAACGTTACATCATGGATTAGGCCTGTTGCTCTTGGCTTTCCACTTCTCTACACACTTTGCTTAGCCTTTGGCTGCTTTTGATATTTCTGAAAAATACGAGGGTGTGGAATGAGCAGATGTTATAATGCAGCATCTTCTAAGTTTCTAGCTTTCTTCTTTCACTGAAGATTTATTACAGTTCATTTTGTAGGGTCTAAAAGTCATGAACAAAAAGTTGTGATGGTCAGCTATTACTTAGTGAGCATAGGTTTGTGTCAGGTGCTGAGCTAGACACCTGGTTACAGAAAGGACATTGTGCCTGATTTAGGGGCCGTGCATACACTGCTGTCACGCCACTCAGCACATTGCATTTATGGTTATTGTATATGTAACTCTAATAATTGTAAGTACTTATGTAACATTTATTATGTGTCAGGCACACTAAGTGCTTCAGAGAGAATGACTAATTTTATCTTCATAAAATTACCCTACTGGAGTTAGCAGTCACAGCTTTCACCTCCTCCCATCTTTCGTATTTTTTTAACTGCTGCCTTCTCAATGACTGACACTTACAGTCTTGCCAGTTTTGTCTTTCTTTAGCTCCAGCTGCTCACCCATTGAGTTACTTGCAAGGCCTCTTTTTTGGCCACTGCTGTTGCAGCCACCACTGCCTATTGTATTTACCTCAGTAGTAGGTGTCTCCGCTACCACAGCCATGACTTCAGCCATTACCTGTTGCTGTCTTCCTTACATTCACTGTTGCTTTCCCTGCTTCTTACCACATCCTGATGGTTGTGCTATGGGGAGCACTTTTATCCTGTCTGATGTAGGTGACAAAAATGTGGTTGCGTTTGATTAAGGAGACCAACTGGATGTGATAGGTTTGAAGGATGAGAAGGGAAGAAGAAGGGTGGTGTTGAGTTGTGATGGGGGCCGGTGACATAGTGGAGAGAAGTAAATACAGTAATACCTCGGTTCACAAATGCTTCTGTTTGCGAACAGTTTGGTTCACAAAAATGTTTGGTAGAATTTTGCTTCTGTTCGCAAACTGCGTCGGGTGACAAGCACAATGAGGGCCATCTTCCCACACAAATACAAAGGCATCCATCTTTCCCCGAATCATAAAACGAATTATAGTTTGTATACTGAATTCCACTGTAGTAGAGAGGTGCTGTTACTGCTCATGCCTCGGAGGTGGCCTAGTGGGTCAGACAAGAGGAAGAATGTAGTGATGGATGACACAAGGTGGTGGTAAGGGAGCAGGTCATGGTAACCAGGAAGCAGAAGAGATCTTTGGCCAGACTCACTGTTCCTTTATGATTTTCAGTTTTAACTGAGGAGGCTATGCTGGCCATTGCTTAGCTTTATTGTTGAGATTAGTGACAGTATTGATATATATTGATAACCAATACTACAAACATTATAGTTGGTGTCATCAAAATCTCTCAGTCTAGATGTACCTAAATTAGAAGCCAAATTATATAAATTGCTGATCTTAAAAGAAACTATATTGAACTCTATCAGATATTTGCTTTTTAGAATTCCAGATGCCGAGGCTGTATTTTGGACCAGTTAAGTCAGAAGTTCCCCAGGGTTTTTTTGGTGGTACTGGGGATTGAACTCAGGACCTTGCACTTGCCAGGAAGGCGTGGTGCCACTGAGCCACATCCCCAGCCCTCCCCAGGTATTTTGAATGTGCACCTAGGGTTAAACCACTATTCCAAAAGAAGTCTTCATTTTTGTTTTATTCTTTAAAAAATGTTGACTTGCTTAGAAATATAGTTTGGAAGAATGACAAATCTATCTTGAATCTCCTAAAAGTTATCAGAGTAAAAATTTTTGGATGCCCATAATCTTAGGAGGTTGTAATAGGCTTCACTTGGGCCTGAATGAAGTTTGACATATGAACTTAGATCAGACCAGATACTTCTGATCTCTGTTTGAGAGGTGAGGAGTTAGTTACAGGCTGAGTAGATTAGACAGAAGGAAAGGATGCCCTATGGATGAGGTGTATTCAAAGGCATTTGTAATGTGAGGGTCATGGAGATGCTTGAATCACGAGTAGGGAAGTTGTCAGTGATGCTGAGTACTTTGGTCTTCTGAGACTCCTCAGATGGTGCCCTGAGGCCTCCTGCTCTAGTTGTCCTTGTGTAGGTGATGAATGGGGCACTTTTTCTTTGAGTCTTTCAATCAGTATGGTACCTCGTAGGGGGATCTGTTGGAGTTAGCGAAGACAGATGAATTGTAAAAGTCCGGGGTGCTGGTGGTGAAATGGAAGAAGCAAATGAAAATGTTAAAGAACAAAAGGGGATGTAGTCAGTAGAATGTAAGCTGGGCTAGTGAGGATGTCAGTCCTTGAAAATAACCTGAGTATAATTTATGCAACTCCCTGTTGCATACGGCATTGTACAAGAGAATGTTTTTAGTTAAGTACTTTTTAAAACTTGTTAAAAAATGAGTTGGTGAAATCGAAAACACTGACACTATCAAATGCTGGTGAGGATGTGGAGCAACCAGAACTCTTGTTAATTGCTGGTGAGAATGCAAAATAATACAGCCACACTGGAAGACAATTTGTCAGTTGCTTATAAAACTAAATAAACCATCTGATCCAGCAATCAAATTCCTTGGTATTTACCCAAAGGAGTTAAAATCACAAAAACCTGCTCATGCATGTTTATAGCAGCTTTATTCATAATTACCAAAAAGCGGAAACAACCGAAATGTCTTCCAGTAGGTGGTAGGTAGTCTATAGTACATCCAGACGTTGGAGAATTATTCAGGAATGAAAAGAAATGTGCTATCAAGCCATGAAAACACATGGAGGAAGCTTAAATGCATATTACTAAGTGAAAGAACCTACCTCTTGTGTGATTCCATCTATATGACATTCTGGAAAGGACAGACCTATAGAGAAAGTAAGAAAGATCAGTTGTTGCAGAGGACTTGTGGGGAGAGAGGGATGCATGGATTTAACACAGAGATTTTTAGGCCAGTGAAAATATTCCATATATTAAAATAGTGAATACGTCATTATGCATTTGTCAAAATCCAGAGACTGTACAATAACAATGAAATGAAAAGTAAGCTATGGACTTTGGGTGATAATGATGGATCTGTGTAGTTTATTAATTTAACAAATGTACCACACTGATGGGGGATGTTGATAGTGGGAGAAGCTGTATATATGGTCGGGGGCTGGGGCTTTGTGAGAACTCTGTGCTCATTGTTGTGTGCCTGTAACTGCCCTTATACTCTGTCTTTAAAGATAATGTTGGTATCTTAACTTAATGTTAAGTCTGTGTTTAAAGATGGTAAGTTGGTAAAACTCATTGTTCTACTTTAAATTCTAATCATATAGTTTTGTGCTGATAGTATATGAGTTTGTAGTAAAATACACACAATTACTAGTCTTTGTTGGCTTTCTGTGAAGTCACTTTGTTGTGTATTCATGGGACTACAGCTATAATGTTTATTAGAATTGTTAATTGATATCAGTATTTGCTGAGAACAGATCTTTTTGAAGAACCAGCTGAAGTGCTTAAGTCAGCTTATATCATCTGTGCCTGCTTTACAGAGAAATAGTTTCTTATACTCACTAGGAAGCAGTGTGCTTTGATTTTGTTAACATACATATTTGTAAAAGATGAAGACGTCTAGGGGCCACATTTAAGGTTCCTCACATTTCTTTTGACTTGTGCTTTTCTGTTTCTGTTTAGTGTTTTGTAAAGCTGCTGACTTCAGCTCTGGCTTTTCTTTGGTTGATAGACCCCTCTGGGTCCTTTGGGACTTCTTGTGTCTAATCCACCAAGCTATATTTTAGAGAGGAAAACATGAAGGCCTTGGTCCCCTTCTCTCTGAGGTTGTGCATAGGTGGTACTAGATAGTCACTAGAATAAAAGGCTTAAAACTGACCTTTTACGCCAAATCTGTGGTTGGCTAGTTAAGAAAAACTTTATAAAATGTACTTGTTTTAGAGCAGATTAACTTCAGCGGCAGAAAAACACCAGAAGATGATACTTAGTCACTCCAAATTCACTTACCCCAAAGTAACCACTATTAAAACTTAGGCAACTGTCTTTCTAGAAACTTCTCCTTAGGTATATATGTGTACAATATTAAGCAAGAACCATTTATATGTGTTCTTTTGTAGTCTGTTTAATTACCCACCAGAGTTGTGTAGGCATCTTCACAAATCAAATATAGATATGTATAATATTTTCTTAGGTCTGTGTTATTGTTAATAGTTGCTTAGTGTACTGTTTTATGTATTAAATAGTTTATTTAACTATTTGTTTTACCACTATAAACAAAGACCAACATCTGTATATTTATACACTTGTTTTAATTATCTCCTTAGAATAAATTCCTAGATGAGAAGAGGTAAGGTAAACAACCAATTTGGAAATGGGTATTAGTTGCTCCAATTTCTTGGCTCATAATGATGTTTGGAAGTAGTATTTAAGAACTGGCAGTGTTGAGCTTGGTCTGGTAGTAGGGCTAAACTTGGGGTGGAACAGAATGTGGCAGGCACCTAGCTTGCTTTGAGCTTGTCATTGAATTGCTGGAGCCAGGCTTGTTTTGGAACAAATTTTTCTGTTATTGCAGACAGCAGAATGGCTCCAAAGGTGACTTCGGAGCTGCTTCGGCAGCTGAGACAAGCCATGAGGAACACCGAGTACGTGACTGAACCGATCCAGGCCTATATCATCCCGTCGGGAGATGCCCACCAGGTACTGAGTGGAGATGGGCCGAGGATGGGACTTGTTAGCTCCCCATTTCTTTTTGGTCTTCCCCCAGCTGTAATGTGTTTGTAGAATTCTAGTTGTCAGCCGATGGCCAAGCGTGTCTTCCAGGGTTTGACACAGGGACCTATATCTAAAAGGGTCTCACTGATTGCCTATACGGTCGGCTTTTCTTCCTTGTTTCCAGTGAATTCAGCCAGCTTTCAGTGAATTGTGAAAATGTTAGTGTATAAATTAAGGGACAGAAGTCTAGGAACTTTTTGTACTGATACACTCTATCCCATTTCCTGTGCTTACCCTGTTCCTAGCAGAATTGATTTCCTTGTCTCCCTTCTGCCCATCCAGATGGCCTCATTCCTCTGCATGGCCGCAGTGGATCTCTACTCTAGCAGTAACTAGGGATGATACCGAATACTGTCACTCACCCTCAGCCACCACTTTTGATGGGAGCTATTCAGTAAGTACACCAGAGAGAGTAGTGTTTAGAGAGACAGAGACCTCATGTGGAAGGGCTGAAAGGGCAGGAGGATGGAAGGACTCTAGGACCCACTCTGAAGGAATCAGCAAGTGTTTTAGTGCTTACTGGGTGGTAATGGTAGGGTTACAAATGTGACTCTAAGATTGAATTCCTGCCCTTACTCTCATTATAGTTTAGTGAGAGGTGAAATGATATACAAAGTGCTATTCCTCTGTAGAGTCATCTTTGTATTTTTTCCAGCCTTTGCTTATGTGCAGGGTTCTACCTTAGGTACTGTGCATGGTACAAAGATGGAAATTATTTCTGGTCTCAAGAAGCAAACAGTTCAGTAATAGCGTGAAGAACATACATACACATAACTCCACTGCTAGGCAGAATGTGGTGAGTGTTGGAAAAACAGACAGAGAGCCACAGAACTTTGAGGGTGTGAGGGTAGAGTGGCGGAGGGCTTCATAGAGCAGGGAGACATTTGAACAGACCTTGAAAAATGGTGCGGGTGGATAAGTAGAGGTGGGGGTAATGAAGGACGAAAAAATTCTAGGCGGGAAGATTAGTAGGAGCAAAGTCAGAGAAGCTGGAAGCTTCCAGAAAAAAATAGTGATAAGTTTCCCTTGACAAGAGCCCAGGGAAGTAAAACACTGTGTTGGGAAACAAGGCTAGTGTTTTAGGATTCTTCAGTTGCAGATGACAGAAACAGTTTCAGATACCTTGAGCAGACAAAGTGCTGTGTGAGGCCGAGGGGCAGAAACACTGCACAGGCACAGCTCCCTGCTCTGAGTGGTGCCTTCCGGAGTTGTACCTGTCAGCCCTCACACTGGGGTTCTGTAGACCCTCAGTATGGGGAGCAGCTGGCCCTGAGGGGGATCTGGGGTAGGGAGCGCACCTTCTGCTGCCTATCTATTTCTCTCATTCTCATACTGCAGTGTAAACCTGACAAGTACGTGTTATATCTCTTTATCTCTTATTTTCAAGATCCTTAATCTCAAATCCAGAGTCCCAAGTGAGAACCTGATGGATCCTGGTTGCACTGTATGTGTGTGTGTTTGTGTGTGTGTGTGGTCGTGTGGAACAAACCTGAGCAGAGGGGGTCTACCATAATGGAGAGAGTGGCAGATAAGGTTGTTACTGTAAGCGGAGCAAAGCCTTGAAAAGATAGCTTGTCTGGCTGCCCTTCTTTTGCCCCTTTCCAAAGGCTCTAGTCTCCAGGGTTTTGACAGTGCAAAGCCTGTGTTCATTTAGACCAGCCTCAAGGTTAGACCCTTGCCTGGAAACATGGGACTTCCTGTCCTCAGGAGCAAATGAGATGCTGAAGTGAATAAAAACAAGGGGTTGGAAGATTTGAAGAACAGTGTTCTTCAAACTGTGTCCTACAACATGCCTATTGTGTCTTCTAAGATGATATGCAGAAAACGTATTAATAGGCCTAGAAAATAGTTAAAATGTGCTCAACAGTTTTTTTAAATTAAAAAAAAATCGACATGAAATTTACTATTGTAGCCATTTAAAAATGTACAGTACTGTGGTGGTAATGTTATGTGCACATTGTTGTGTAACATATCTAGTACATTTTTATCTTGCGAAACTGAAATTCTGTACCCCTAGATGTGCCCGTAGTTGCTAAACAACAGCTCTGCTTTTTTTCTTTCTCCCTGCCCCTGGTAGCTACCGCTCTACTTCCTAAGAGTTTGACTTTTTTATATGCTTCATATAATTGGATCCATGTATGAGTTTTCCCCTAGTATGGGGGATTGAACCCAGGGCCTTTGACATGAGCTGCATTGCAGCCCTTAAAAAAATTTTTTTTTTTTTTAAAATTTGAGACAGGGTCTCAGTAGATTGCTGAATTGCTCAGGCTGGGCTTGAACTTGCAATCCTTTTACTTCAACTTCCCAGAAGGCTAGTACTGTAGGTGTGCGCTACCACCTTCTGCTGTATGATTTGCTGTTTGTGAGCGGCTTATCTCAGCACAGTGTTCTCAAGGTTTATCTGTGTACTATATTTCCCTGAAAATAAAACATGGGGTTTATATTAATTTTTGTTCCAAAAGACCCAATAGGGCTTATTTTCAGGGGATGTCTTATTTTTTTCAATTACAATCTACATTTATTAATGTATAACAGCCTACATTTATTCACTTATTCATGTACAAAGGTTTACATTTATTCAAATTCAGTCATGTCATCTTTTTCTGGAACATCATCATAATTCTCTAATCCCTAACAGAGCTCTCCTTAAATGAGCACTTTTTGTCCATGTAGCCTGCTTGTAGTACATTGGCAACGTACTTGTTAGTGATTTTATCCCAGGAAGTCTTCACCCAAGTCATGACCTCTTACAGGCTATGCTTTGCAAAGTTTCTGTTAAGTCAAGTATTAATTGAAGACTCACGAGATGGGAGTGGCTACAAAAATGATGACAATTAAGAACAATGGTCTGCAGAAAAGCAGTGAAAAATTGCGGGCACCAGAATTTGGAAAACGTTTTTTTATTTCACATGAGTGTATTAAGTACATCTGTGATAACATGTGATATATTGAATTATGAAGGTTCATGTTAGGTAGAACCACATCCCTTAATTATCAAGTATGCAATTTATTCTTGGATGTGTCTGTACTCTGGTTATTTGGCAGTAAGTCTTGAGTTCATCTGTTTACAGAGGCATTTCCCTCATATCTGAAGGTGCCCGCTTGGGTATTTACAAATACTTGATTATAAGTTGTATTATTGTGTATTTTTATCAATAATGTTTATACTTAATTATATATTAATAATATTATTTTATAATTCAGTGTCTGCTGTGTGGTCCAGTGGATGTACCAAATTGTCCAAGTGGCTGACGATCCTCACTGGGACTTATTTTTGGAATGGGGCTTATATTATGAGCATCCTGAAAAATCATGCTCGGGTTATTTTCCAGTTAGGTCTTATTTTCAGGGAAATACGATGTGACAGGATCTGACAGGTATAAGGTGCGACTGCTGGATTTCCATTTGACTCACGCCCCATCCTGATGTGTACTCATTCACTGTAAAGAGGGGCATAGAGTGTTCAGCATTTTCTAGACTTAAATGTTTATGGAATTCCCACCTCATCTCAGGGATGGAGTAGGGACTCTGCCTCCATTAATTCATAATAGCACTTCTGGTACTGGGACGGGTTAGAACGTGCTCCTCGAGGAAGCCAGAGGAAGGAGAGGTCACAGTGGGAGGCGCTGGTGAGGAGGGTGAAGCGGGAGGTCAGCCAGCGTCAGGTGTGCTGAGGGCACATCGCTGGCAGTTCAGCCTGGCTGCATGGAGAAGTGGACAATCAAGCTAAAAGTGGTTGGAGGCATGTGAGGAGACCGTGGAGTCTGGTACACACTTGTTTGATTTAGTAGGCAGCTGGGAGATGAGAAGAGCCTGGCTGGATTTAGGGTTTGAGTTTGTCACGAATCCTTCCACTGTTTGCTTTGGAGAAGAACATGAACCTGAATGAGCACCAGCTTCACCGAAGCCACCTTTTCATCTTGACCTCAGTCCGGATGACTAAGGAGGTAACCGGCATGTCTTGGGGCTGAGTCGTGGGAGCAGTCTTAGATGGCAGAGGTGCTGGCTACCCTATTTGAGAAGGGTAGGGGCTGGGGATTTAGCTCGGCGGCACCTTGCCTGCCTTGCAAGTGCAAGGTCCTGAGTTTGATCCCTAGTACAGGGGAAAAAAGGGCAGCCCTGGCCTTTGTCCTGAAGGAATTTCTTTTTGTTCTCTGTGGGTGCCTCTGACGAGCCATTTGCTGCCTCCTGTTGGTCCCAGGCCTTAGCTCTTAATACTTGGGCTGCATGTGTCGTGGATTCTCTGTGGCGTTCATCGGTGGAGTTTTTATCGGCTGCCTTTGAAACACTGGGCAGGCTGATTTGAGTGCAGCCACTCTTAGCTCAGGGTGGGCAGGTGGTGGTGCTTACTACTATAGCACATCGGCTAGGGGTTTGTTGGAGCTGTTCAGAACACCCCAGCCCTGTCCTGGACCCAACAGCCCTTGAGTGATACTGCAGCAGTCCTCTAAAGGAAGGCTCGCAGGCTGCCGTGGAGCCCCAGCCAAAGACTCCTGAGAGCTCTGCTTCACATGTGAACCTTGGCCCCCAGGGGTGGCCTCGGTCACCGGAGGTTGACCTGTAGTGCTGCTTGAAAGAAAAAGTGAATGTTTGGAGGTTTTATAGTCTTTGTATTTCAAGTTTGGTTTTCTTTTGCCTGGGGTTGCAATTACAGTCTGTGCAACCTGTGTATTTACTAGTAGGGAAGCCAGTGTAGGCCATGTTGGTCTTGATAGACTTGATAGACTTACTAGTCTTGAGTTCGGTTGCCCAGCCTTCTTTTTTTGTCATCATTAAGCTGGTTTTTGAATACTGTGAAGACTTTTTCATCTTTGAAAAATTGAAACATACTGTTTATACATCTTTCTTTCTTTCTTTTTTTTTTTTTTTGAGACAGGGTCTCACTATGTAGTTGAGACTGACCTGGAACTCACTGTGTAGCCCAG